GTGATATCAAACACATCATAGTTCTTTTTAATACAAAGAATGTATGGAGAGGTTGTTGAAGTTAATTCAAGATAGGCATAGGCATCTCACCAACTCTACAAAAGATTTACATCAATCTTTATTGCTCCAATCGCCCATTTACAAGGTACCATTGATAAAAGTATCATGAGAAATTGTAAGGAGAATCAATAAGAGTTTGTTCAAGTTAATACTTACTAAATAGAATTTGATTGAGTTAATACTTACTAATTTATAAGTTTTAATTTGAGATTACAATTAGAGATTTAAATTTTTATATTATCAAATAATTAATCCTCTAATATATTAAAAAAATTGTACAAAGGATGATATATTAATTAAGGATACAATTTTTTTTATTAATCAATGCTATAAACTATTATAAAATTTTTAATTAAGGATGTGTTGTTTACGTATTTTTATACAAGAATCTATTGGATGTCCATGCAAACATACTTCATTGCTATGGGAACATCCAATTAATTATTATGTAGTAAAAACAAAAGGTTTATAGAACTATTTAGATTAATTATTTAAATATAATTGATAACTGATAATTAATATCTAATGATTAATAATTATTATTATTTATAATTTAGAATATCTAATTAGTTATATTAGAGTTAACGGCTACTAACTGTTTCCCAAACAACAAAACAACACCCCTAGCTAAATCATTCTTAGTTAGTAACTGTGTGAAAGTTTATATTCTTAAATTAGTAAAGAAGAATATTTGTATTATCAACATCAAAAAAAAAAAAAAGAATCTTTGTTTTATTAGTAAAGGATTGTAAAAAATTATAAGACGCAAAAATTTAAATACCAAAAATAATAATAGAAAATTTTAATTATTCTTAATAAATTAATTTATAAAAAAAATATTTATTAAAAATATTTAAACAATATTACGGAATACAAACCGTCTCGATCTTCAAGCTTTAAAGGTGTAGTACAATATACAATGTAAACGTTTGAGTTTGAGTTGGGAGCGAAATAATGAGAAATTTGGGTTGGGTCAATCATTTTAATTAGACTAATTTTCTTCTTTTTTTTTTTTTTTCTTTTTCGATGGAGACTAATTTTAAATAGAAAATGAAGTATAATTAGAATCAAGCTTTTCAATTTTGATGGCAAGGAATAGAAGACCCACTTGAAAGATATATGTGAATGATTGACTTGAAGAAATTCAAGAAAAAGAAAAAAAACAAAAAAGGTGATAGGGAGGTTCCTAGAAGAGGCCAATGGATATTAGTTATCATTCTTGTCTTTAGGTGCGGCATTAAGCTATCTTAAGCAAAACTCTATAGACATAAGGGTATGCAAAGATTGTTATTTTGTGATATTTGGTCTTAAATTGTCGTGGGGACTGTCCCCACTACTTCCTTTTCCTTGGGGCAACAAAGGAGTTGGGGAATTTAAGTCATGACATAGAATAAAGAGAAATAGCGCGCGCTACCTCAATCAATCACCATACCTCTCCATAGGATAGGGATATTTGCGCTTCAAAATATTGGAAATCACCAGAAAAAGTAGAAGAAAAGTAAAACAACGTGGACGGTAGTAGTAATAAAGAAAGCAAGATAGGAATCCACCCCAATCAACAAGCAATAACATCCCACCTTCAAAATCCAAATCCTTCACTTTTTTCTATCTTTTTTTTTTCCTCTTTAAAGAAAAATCCACCTCCATCCAATTTTTCTTCAAAAAAGGGAATAGCATAAAGTTGATAAGAAAAAAAAAAAAGAAAAGAAAAGAAAAGAGAAGAGTGCTAGTCCTTCCCACTTGTCACATGATAACATGAACCATAGTCATTGTAACTTGCACAATTTTTCACCCCCTAAATCCACTCTTAGTATGGATGTTTTTGGGTTTTACCCCAAAATTATCCTTTTGGGAAATTGTCATTATAGCCAGAATTTAAAAACAAACAACAAAAAATAAATTAATACAAAGTAGTAACAATTTCTTTAGATTGAGGAAAAGGAAAATAAAGAAAATAATTTTTTGTATAATAAAATGAATTGGATAGATTAAAGGAAAAATTTTCTTTTGTCATTTTCTTCATTTCCCTCAACTTAAACACATAATAAGAGATTAGAAACAAAAAAAATATATAAATAGAAGAAAAGAAGAGACTAAAGATGGGAAATAATGAAAAAAATTTCTATAATTAATTTCTAAAGTATATGCAATTTTTTGGGTTAACCAAAAAGAAAGAAGAGAATAAAAAAAAAAAAAGAGGCCAAAGTTTCAGCCTTTCAGGACATGTTAACATGGAGACTGGCATTCATGACAGAATCGCAGACAGGGCAAGTGCCTACCAGACTGGACCCACACATTGTACACAGACAAAGATGCCTGCAGGGCAGCAACAGCACACTCGACTCCCTTTTCCCACACTTTCTGCACGCCCTGCTTCCTCCACCACCAATCACCGCCTTCTCCTCCGCCGTCCTCATCAACCCAGCATTATTCACCCTCCCGTAATCGTTACTCCCACAGCTCGACTCACAATCGTCCGCTACCTTTACACCACTCACGTGGCGCTCCTCACCCACATGCGCCAGTACATGTTCCAGGTTGCTTCGGAGTGAGTTGGCCGTCGCCTCGTTCGTCTGCGCCAGGTCCCGCCATAGCTGGTTCTGCACCGATAAACTTTGCACCTTCTCTTGAAGAACCCAGTTTAATTTCCCTATTTTCTGAATCTCTTCGTCTTTCTCTTTCAATTTCTTCACCACCCTTTCCTGGATTGCCGTAAATAGCATCCTTGATTGCCTCTTTCTTCTTTCCTCAAGTTCCATCCGCAATTTCTCATTCTGTAATAATTAACCCCCAAAAAAACAAAAAAAGAAAAATTAGAATCTAAAATTCAGTTCTATTTTTGGTAAATTTCAAATGAACTAAAAATGGTATTAATTGTTTTCTTTAATGAGAAATATGTTTAGAGAGAAGCAGTTACCAAATTAGAAAAGAGAAAAATATAGGAACAACAAAACCAGTAATAAGTAATAACCCCATTATTTTCTTTCACTTTCCTTCTCTTTCCTGGCAACCAAACAAAGAAATTAAATTTAATAAAATTAAATCAACTTACATGTTCGGCAAGGAAACGATCGAGTTCTTGTTGCTGTTCCTGGATCTGGGAGATGACATCTTGATCAAGAAACGAAGAAGCAGCAGAGAAATTGTTTTTCTGAGAAACAGCGTACGCATCAAACCCAGTACTGAATGTATGATCCCTTTGCCTTTTTCTTGGACCTGTAACGGCCGGAATATTATACGTCAGGCCGCTGTCGTCCTTGTTCATCGACGTCTTCCCCGGAACCGGATCGCAAGCGAGCGACTGATACAGCGGCCAGAGCTGCTGCGCCTGTTGCATTGTATTTGTATCCACCAAAGGAATGAAGGATTCGGCCTGGGAATTGTACAAACCACCATTTCCTTCACTGCTCTTCACAAAATCTCTGCAAAAAAAAAAAAAAAAAAAAAAAACCCGAAAACCCCCATTAGAAACCACGAACGAAACCAGAGATTTCAATTTCCAACACCCTTTTGCAAAAAGTTCATACCTGTCTGGGATGAACTGAGGGGGGAAGGGATTCATGTGCCGTGCCTCGACTGCCATGGATGAAAATTTGTTTTGTTGAGAGAGAAGAGAGAGTAAACAGAGTTGGCGAGTTGGGAATCAAAAGCCCCGAACGAAGGGGGAGTGGCTTTTATTTAGGCTGAAGGAAGAAAGTCAAGAGAGAGACTTTGTAATTACGGGCAGAGACGGAATGAATTTTATATACTACAAAATGGTAGTAATAAAAAAAAAGAATTTTGGGTGGCAGATTTTGTATTTGGATTTTGTTCCCATAAATTCCTATTTATTTATTTTCATTAAAAATAATTAATTCTTTTTAGTAACTGCTTTAATTAACTTTCCTTGTTGCCGTATGAGAATACCAAAATTGAAGGGGTAATTACGGGAATTCAGGTCGTCAGAAAAACGTGGAGACGTGGTTGTCATTTTCGTCCAAGTAACTGACATGCGGTGTATCCGCCACGTGGAAGGTGAATGCAGGGATCGCCACGTAGGCAGTGGGTACAGTCCAAAGCGGGAAAAAAGGCTCGTTGTGGGAAACTGAACATGACCACCACTGTGTGGGACCTACTCCTGGCAGGCGCGAAGTGTGGAGGTGGGGGATCTTTTTTATTTTTTTACAAAATTTTTAATAAAAATTATAAATTATTCATATATTTTTTTCTATTAATTTATAAAAAAATTATTATAAAAATAAATTTTATTTTTAATAATAATAGTATATAAAATAATTTAATTAAAAAATTAATAAAATTAAGATTGATTTTTATTTTTAATTTAAGTTAATATTTTTTATTTTAAAATCATTATGATTTTTAATTTTTTTATTTCAAAT